ATTTTTCAACTTTTCTCTATTATTAAAAAATTTGCAAGGGAAGCATCACATCCAAAATTATTCCAGACTGTGTCTCTAAGTAAGACTGATAATGTTTAAGATATAGGTAAGTAAATGATTAAGTATAGAAGTTAATTTTGTGTCGGCCTTGGTCACCTAACACAATTTTTGACAATGACCTTCAACTCAGATGTTACGAGAACCTAATAAAGTAAAATATTGTGGCTTTTATTGTGATCAAAAGAGACAAATTTCTGCTATTTCACGGAAACGATTTTTTTTTTGAACAAAGTTAGTACATTAAAACTTGCATAATTTAAAAAGCCCTTTTGGATTATAATAATAATAATGATACATAATTTAAATTCAAGATGATAATTCCCTTTAAGAAAATATATCGGCAGTGTAAGTTTGAAGACGACGAGATGTATTCTTCAGTTATTACAAGGAATCCAACAAAATTTGTTCCCACTCAAAAAAAAAAAAAAAAAAAAATCCGATTCATAAGATGCATTAGCCATTAAATACTGTTCAGTTTAATCAGAGGAAAGCACTAAACCCGTAGCGGTCATATAGCTCCTACAGAATGGGAGGTAATCAGGTTAGATCCAAGGAATGAGAGGATAGATCCACTTTTTTGGATCTAAAGCCCTCACCAGCATCATGGAAACACACACACATTATTTAATTCAGTACTATACCATTTAGAGATTAAATTTGCAAAATGGCGCCTGAACACTCCATTAACAATACCAACCATTTTCTGAGCTGGAGACAATAGTGCCGAAATTTCAAAAATTTCAACATACGAAATTATTTTCAACTGAGCTCTTATAAAAAATGCAAAAAAAAAAAAAAATCCGAAATTCTATATCAAATTTTCAACGCTGATATTTAACAGAATTACAAACTTAGGCCACACACTGCATAAGGGAAATTACCAATAGACTGCTTTCAAGAGGAAACTCGACAGGACAGATACCTAGACTTAGTATACCATCAGTGGGTCTATGATTCGTACGTTGGACCACGTGTGACCAGCAGTAACAGCCTGGTTCTTCAGGCTTTAATCCACAGAGAACCCTTGTCAAGGAATGGGCAGTGGGGACTTTGATCCCCCAGGATGAGACCCAGTAGACTGGAATCTACATATCCTCCAGATATGTACATTCTAATTGCGTGTACCGAGATACAGGGACTTGGGCTCTGCAATACGAGGAAACCTTCCATGTTGATAACTAGACGTATTTCAGGTCCTGTAACACTCGAAATACTTGTAGTTATTATTATATTATATTTTTTTTATTTACAGAGAAGTATTTACTATATTTTCTGTCTTCCGCACCTCGTATCTCCTTACACTTTTCATTTATTCTCTCCTTCATTCTCTTCCTTCAGAATGTTCTCTCTCTCTTCCCATGCAGGTATCTCCTGAAGGAGGAATTAATTTGTGTCGAGCGGGCGTCCCTGGCACCATTACAGGTGGCGTGGGAGAGGTTGTCGTAGGAGAGACAAGTATCCCTCCTGAAGACATGGATTTGAAAGTGGCGTGTGGGATGACAGGGGTAGTATGTCAGCAGGTTGTGTGTACCGTGGGCGGTCTCCACCTGGCTCCCAGAGTGCATCTTACTCTACTGTATAATCTTACAATGTTAATTGGTGGGTACCATGAACTATGTCTCTGGATCTGTCTCTTTGCTGTGATGCTGAAGAACTGTTTATAGTGTCTTTTTATGTGCCTGGTAATCTCTCTACTTTTCTTTCTGTATCTGTAGCTATATGAGAGTTTCTTATTTTTCTTCTCTCTAGATGTCTGGCTGTCGGACTATTTGTGTATCTTTCTGTGTAGCCATTTAGACTTTTGTTTTTTGACGTTTGGCCATCTGACGTCTATTTGTATAGCTGTGAGTAAGTGACTACAAGACTGTCTGATAGTTTGACTTTCTAATTAGCTGTTTTTATGACTGTCTAAATAAATGTTAGTGCCTAATTGCCTAACACACACACACACACACACACACACACACACACACACACACACACACACACAGACCACACGCTCACACACATATGCACACTCACTCATAATGGGGGATTTCAACCACAAGGAGATACTGGAAAAAACTGGAGCTACATGGGGAACCAGAGACGTGGAGAGCCAAGATGCTGGAGGTGGTGCTGGAAAGCTTCATGTACAAACATGTTAGGGACACAACCAGAGATATAGGAGTTGATGAACCAGCAAGGTTGGACCTTGTATTCACCTGGAACAGTTGAGACAGAGGAAAGCATACACGAAACACCCTTTGGTGCTAGCGATGACGCGGTCCTGAGTTTCGAATACATAGTGGAGTTAACAATAAAGAGTTAGGGCAGCACAAACCCAACTTCAGAAAAGGTCGCTACACACATAGGCAATTCTTGCATAAGATGCAGTGGGTAAGAGACAGATGGGAGGACAGTCAACGAAATAATGGAACACATGACGACAAAGTACAGAGAAGAAATTCGTGCCAAGGGGCAAACAAACAATGGAAAACCAGAGTGAGCCCATGGTTCACCCGGAGGTGTGGAGAGGCTAAGTGTGCTAGAGCATGAAAGAAGTATAAAAGGCAAAGGACTCAAGAAAACCGGGAGTAAAACAAGAGAGAGGGGTGAGTAGACTGCATTTTCTTGACCTGTAAGAAGGTTTTTTACACAGTTCCACACAAGAGACTAGTGCAAAACTTGGAGGACCAGGTAGGTATAACAGGGAAGGAACTGAAATATATCAGAGAATAATTGACGGGAAGGCAGCAGCGAGTCATGGTACGGGACTAGGTGTCAGAGTGGGGGGGCCTGTGACGAGCGGGGTTCCGTAGAGGTCAGTGCTAGGACCCATGCTGTTTCTGGCATATTTAAATGATACGAGGGAAGGAATAGACTCAGAATTGTCCGTTTGCAGACGATGTGAAGTTAATGAGGAGAATTCAATCGGAGGAAAACCAGACAGGACTGCAAAGGGATCTAGACAGGCTACAGACCTGGTCCAGAAACTGCCTTCTGGACTTCAACCCCACCAAGTGCAAAGTCTTGAAGATCGGGAAGGGCAAAGAAGACGGCAGACAAGGGGCCAAGGAAAAGGATCTTGGGGTGAGTATAATACCGAGCACATCTGTGACGTTTACCTGGAGAGAGTTCCGGGGGTCAACGCCCCCGCGACCCGGTCTGTGACCAGGCTTCATGGTGGATCAGGGCCTGATCAACCAGGCTGTTACTGCTGGACGCACATCATCCAAATAACTGGTGCACCATATGGGCGCTTAGCAACTTAAGAAAAGCATTCTGACACCTCAGTAAGGAATCGTTCAAGACCCCCGTACACCGTGTAAGTCGGGCCCATACTGGAGTATGCAACACCAGTTTGAAACGCACCCCAGGTCAAGTATGTCTAGTCTTGTTGCAAAGGTTTGCAACAAAACTAGTCCCGGAGATAAAGGGCATGCACCACCACCACGAGATTATTTGGTGAACTGGTAGTCTTCGGAGGATTCTTAACTTTATTTGTAAAGCCATGTTGGGTACACAGGCTTGTGTGTTATGCCCATGGCCCGGGCAGGGCCATCCCACGAGAGGAGAGAGCTAGTAGGCCTTGTGTCTTCCTGCTAGGCCGCTCTGTGAGTGAGTGTGGGACCAGCTTCCCACAGACTTGGACAGGCCCAGAGGGCAGCACTTTAGTGGCGCGAAATATGAACTAAGCTGGCAGACAGCCTGTACTGTCTGTGCAGACAGTACAGGCTGTCTACACCACCACCACCACCACCACTACCACCACTTCCTTGTTCTCGTTCCCTGACTTCTGGTCTTGCTCAAATGTTACATGACAATAACTCATGAAGAGACAAAACGCCATTTGTGGCCTCCTCTTGTTGTGACTTATCAGTGAATAAAGGATCACATTATACTGCATGTGTGTTTATATTTCCATTGTGTCGGTATTTTATACCATTTATTTCCATCGTAAAATTTTCCAGTGACTTTTATTGTTTCTCTTTCATAGTTGATGTTACATATATAGTGTGTGTTTTAGAAGACTGCTTTACTGTGAATGCATTTATTTGTGCAATGTGCATAAAAGGTTACTGTTGAACTCGTCCAAATTACAAATAAAAACTACTTATTCAAATATTCAAAATATCGATCTCCATCACTAATCTTCATTTCTTCCTCCATCACTGTTCAACAGCACGATATGGTCCCAACACCACTGTTGCTATAAATACCTGGGCTACCCTCAGGAACAGTTTCAACAGTGATCTCTCCACCACCTTGAGGTACGTTGCTACTTAACCACACAGTGTCCACCAACACCACCAATACCAGAAAAAAAAATTAACTAGAAATATAGCAGTATCTTGCGTGTGAGGGGCTTTAACTTCCAGCATGTGTGCGTGACTATGTTAAATAGGAACGAATGGAGACAAATGGTTTTTATGACCAGACGTGCTGTTGGAGTGTTAGCGAATTAACACTTATGAAGGGATTCAGGGAAACTGGTTTGCCGGACTTCAGTCCTTGAGGTGGGAAGTACAGTGCTTGAAGGAGGGATGTTGATATATTGCATTTTTTAATTTTAGTGTTGGCACGCCTCTGGCAAGACACTGATGGAGTGAATGATGATGAAAGTGTTTCTTCTTTTTCGGGTCACCCTGCCTTGGGGAGAAGCGGCTGATGTGTTAATAAAATAAATGAAAGAGTGGCAGGTACTAAGGGATTCAAAGAGAGCATGCATACTTCCTTTGTATAAAGGCAAAAGAGAGTGTAAAAATTTATAGAGAAATACGCCTGTTAATTATACCTGATAAGTTGTATGGTAGTCATTATTGAAATAATTAAGAGTATAATAAAGATCAGGACTGCAGATAAACGAGCGGGTTGTAGAAAGGGTAGGGGGTGTGTAGACCAGGTGTTTACAGTGAATATATAAGCCAACAGTATTTAGATATGGGTGAAAACTTTTCGCTGCATTTATGGATTTAGAAAAGGCACATGATAGAGTGGCTAAATGAGCAATGTGGCAGATATTACGAAATAGGTGGTAGGTTACTGAAAGCAGTTAGGAGTTTTACAAGGATAGTGAGGCTCAGGTTAGGGTATGTAGAAGAGAGATTATTTCCCAGTAAAAGTAAGACTCAGGGATGCATGATATCAACATGGTTGTTTAATATATTTATAAAAGTGGCGAAACGTTTCCTTAATAAATATACCCAAGAGTTGCACATGTGTCTAATTTATCAACGTGTCGGTATGTAATTTTATTTGTTTGTTAAATATTATCTGAAACAAACCTTCATGAAATAACACATGTGGCGGTGTAGTAGCCATTGTCCCATGACGGAACATGTCAGTTACCAGACGATGACCGGACGGAACATGTCAGTTACCAGACGATGACCGGACGGAACATGTCAGTTACCAGACGATGACCGGATTACATGTCAGTTACCAGGCGATGACCGGATTACATGTCAGTTACCAGGCGATGACCGTACGGAACATGTCAGTTACCAGACATGACCGGATTACATGTCAGTTTTCCAGGCGATGACCGGACGGAACATGTCAGTTACCAGACGATGACCGGACGGAACATGTCAGTTACCAGGCGATGACCGGACGGAACATGTCAGTTACCAGACGATGACCGGACGGAACATGTCAGTTACCAGATGATGACCGGACGGAACATGTTAGTTACCAGACGATGACCGGACGGAACATGTCAGTTACCAGACGATGGCCGGATTACATGTCAGTTACCAGACGATGACCGGACGGAACATGTCAGTTACCAGACGATGACCGGATTACATGTCAGTTACCAGGCGATGACCGGGTTACATGTCAGTTACCAGACGATGACCGGACGAAACATGTCAGTTACCAGACGATTTACCGGACGAAACATGTCAGTTACCAGACGATGACCGGACGAAACATGTCAGTTACCAGACGATGACCGGACGAAACATGTCAGTTACCAGACGATGACCGGACGAAAATGTCAGTTACCAGACGATGACCGGACGAAACATGTCAGTTACCAGACGATGACCGGACGAAACATGTCAGTCACCAGACGATGACCCGGGCGAAACATGTCAGTTACCAGGCGATGACCGTACGGAACATGTCAGTTACCAAAACGATGACCGGACGAAACATGTCAATTACCAGACGATGACCGGACGAAACATGTCAATTACCAGACGATGACCGGATTACATGTCAGTTACCAGGCGATGACCGGACGGAACATGTCAGTTACCAGACGATGACCGGACGGAACAAAGTCAGTTACCAGATGATGAGACGGACGGAACATGTTAGTTACCAGACGATGACCGGACGGAACATGTCAGTTACCAGACGATGGCCGGATTACATGTCAGTTACCAGACGATGACCGGACGAAACATATCAGTTACCAGACGATGACCGGACGGAACATATCAGTTACCAGACGATGACCGGACGGAACATGTCGGTTACCAGACGATGACCGAACGAAACATGTCGGTTACCAGACGATGACCGGACGAAACTATGTCAGTTACCAGACGATGACCGGACGAAACATGTCAGTTACCAGACGATGACCGGACGAAACATGTCAGTTACCAGACGATGACCGGACGAAACATGTCAGTTACCAGACGATGACCGGACGAAACATGTCAGTTACCAGGCGATGACCGGACGAAACATGTCGGTTACCAGGCGATGACCGGACGAAACATGTCGGTTACCAGATGATGACCGGACGAAACATGTCAGTTACCAGATGATGACCGGACGAAACATGTCAGTTACCAGACGATGACCGGACGAAACATGTCGGTTACCAGACGATTACCGGACGAAACATGTCGGTTACCAGACGATGACCGGACGAAACATGTCGGTTACCAGACGATGACCGGACGAAACATGTCAGTTACCAGACGATGACCCGGGCGAAACATGTCAGTTACCAGACGATGACCGGACGAAACATGTCAGTTACCAGACGATGACCGGACGAAACATGTCAATTACCAGACGATGATCGGACGAAACATGTCAATTACCAGACGATAACCGGACGAAACATGTCAGTTACCAGATGATGACCGGACTGATTCAGTATTCAGACTAAGACTATTTTTTAATTTTTCAGCACTACATGTACCTCTCTACATTTAATTTCTGAAATACAGTAATGTCAGTGGAACGCCTTCCAACTGAACAAAAGAAACTAATGGAAAAATAAATAAATAAAGAAATGATTTAGGAAAAACAAGAAAAATGATTTTTGAGATTTTACTTAAAATTTAAATATAATAAAAAAAAATTGCCTTCAGTTCTTGTAGTTGGGCAGGAGTAGGTATGGCCCTAGATAGTTCCTCTGATGTTATTTATGTTGGTTATCCTGGGCAGATGGTAACTCGATGTTCTGGAATCTCCTACCACTTGGATGGAGCACAAGTAGTATAGGTAAGGGTCGGTAGTTGTAGAATAATGTTATAATAAGTATTATTAACACACGTCTTGCCCCTTTATCTGGCGTCTATCCTGGAAGACCACGCCAGGAACAGAGCTGACAAATAAGAAAAAAACTGGTTACCCATAGTCATGATAATATAACATTTAAGAAAGAAAAAGAATAAATGCCAAAATCATTACTGGTAACCAGCAAACACTAGAAAAGAACAAACAGTAATACTCCTGGTAGATCACCCTACCTGATTAGGAGAAGAGTGGAGGCGAAGTGAACTCTCCAAACTTCAATCCACACCAGGTAAGGTCAATATTACCAGGAGCAGAAACTTTAACAAATCGGACACCAGGAACTAGTTTTGCCCCAGCCCGCCAGAGAGGGGGGGGGTGTTGTGCGCGCGCAACGTAACTCGCTAATGGTTCCTGGTTGCCCGAACAACCTTAACCCCACTTACACCTACTTTTCCCTCACAATACCCCCTTCCAAAACTTATGGACGGAGTCAATAAGTCAACGAACAGAGGGAAAAGAACTAAATACAACCTCGGCTCAGCCAATCTGAAAAGTGGTTTTCAGAGCCAGAAATATAAACGACTTTAAACTTATAGGGCTGAATAGCCAGAGCCATCTCAAGAGTCTGCTATTTGACCCTTTAAAGTTTTCCAAGTACATCAGTGGCTTGTGATCTGTTTCAAGCACAAAGGGTTTACCGTATAGGTAGTATTTAAATCTACTTATACCCCATACTAAAGCATAACATTCTTTCTCCACAGTGGAATATCTTTCTTCTCTGGGCAGAAGCTTCTTACTGGCGAAAGATAACTGGGAAAGGTGTCTCCTCATAATATTGAAGTAGTACAGCCCCGAGTCCAGAATGGGAGGCATCTGTTCGGAGACAAAATATTTTACTAATATCTGGTAATTTTAGGACAGGGGGGTTTGAAAATATACTCTTAATCTCTTCGAAGCTTTGGTTGGCTTCCTCAGAACAACTAAGAGGTTCCTTGACACCCTTTTTCAAATAGTCTGTAAGAACTGAAGTTAAGCTACTTAGATTTGGTACGAAATTTCTATAGAAGTTTACAGATCCAAGGAAACTTCTTAATAACTTTTTGGTAGCAGGGAACGTACTTTCTAAAACAGCTTTGGTCTTATTAGGAAGTGGTGAAAAGTTGTTATCAGAGATAATGAACCCAAGGTATTGTACCTTATGATAGCCAAGAAAGCACTTTTGTTGGTTTAACTGTAAGTCCATGAGTTCTTAGTCTTTTCAAAACAAAGCGATAGTGTATTTAGATGGTCTTCCCAGACATTTGTCATGATATAAATATTATCAAAATACACTGATACATTCTTTAGATCAGAAAGAACTATTCTCATAAGCCTAATATACGTGGCACACGCGAAACCAAGCCGAAAGGCATTGTGCGATATTGCATTAGACCTCTATGAGTAGGGAAGCAGTGTATTGTTTAGAGTCTGGGTGTAATGGCACTTGATGGTATGCTTGTGAGATGTCTAATTCCGAGAAGAATTTGCAGTCATGGAATTTATACAAGTCATGATCAATTACTGGCATGGGTTCTGCATCCCATTTAGTTATAGTATTTAAATAACGAAAATCTTGGGAAGTCGGTAAGAATTATCGGGTTTCTTAACCATAACAACTGGTGAACAGAAAGCTGATTTCGAGGTTCTATGATATTTAAGTTAAATAGTTTGTCAACCTCATTATCAAAAGTTTTCCGTAAGTGAACGGGAACAGGGTAGATTTTCCGCCTTACTGGTTCATGATCCAACAATTCAATCTTGTGTACAATAGTGGTGGTAAGTCCTGGTACCTCTGTGAATACGTCAGAAAATGAATTTACTAAGGCACTTACTTGAGACTTGTTTATTTGACAAGTCGTTGTTAATGTTGACATTTGACTTCTTTGGTGAGGGATCATGCGTTAAGATATCCAGTAGCTCCTTCGATTCTGTAAAAGACTCGTCATCTATAATACAAACTCTACATTCGTACGAATCACCACTTGTATCCAAGCCGAAAGAAGAAGTATCTTCGTCAAAGGAATTTACGCAAAGATTAACTTCTCTTCGATGGTACCGTTTCAAAATATTGACGTGATACATTCTTTCTCTACCCTTGACATCCAAGATATAATCTACCTTATTGCAGACCTTCACTACTTTATACGGTCCGCGCCAGGTAATTAGCAATTTGTTGGATTTGTCAGGTAGGAGAACTAAAACTTCATCACCAACATTAAACGTACGCTTGGAGCTTTTATGGTCAAAATAGGTCTTGTACGTTTCCATAGACATCTCTAGGTTTTTACTGACCAAATCGGCGGTTTCTTCCAACCTTTCCCTTAGATCTAAAAGAAACTGATAGCTGTTTTGAACCTCAGGTTTGATATCTTTGGACCAAAGTTCATTCAAAATAGATAGTGGACCACGAGCTTGTCTCCCATAAAGCAATTCAAAAGGGGAATAACCAAGGGAATCACTTGGAATCTCGCGCATTGCGAAAAGAGCACATGGTAAAAATCTATGCCAGTCCGTTGGTTTAAGAATACATAGTTTTTTTAGTATTGACTTTAGGATGGCATGTTGTCGTTCCACTCTTCCGTTACACATCGGATGGTAAGGTGTAGTGAAAAAGAGGTTTAACACCCACAAGTTGATAAACGTGTTCCATTAATTCTGAAGTGAATTGAGCCCCTTTATCCGACAGAATTTCACGAGGTATACCTACACGTGAAAAAATAGAAAATAAGGCTTCTGCGACTTCTATGGACGTAATGGATTTTAAGGGTACCGCCTCTGGGAAGCTGGACGCGTAGTCAATCATAGTTAAAATATATTTATGACCTCCTGATGAGCGAGTGTGATAGGACCAACTATATCTACTGCAACCCTTGCAAAAGGGACTGAGAAAATTGGCATCTTTACCATAGGAACTCTCCTAGTTCTACCCTTCTGCGTGGAAAGTTGACATACGTGACATGATCTGCAGTACTTATAGATGTCAGAGGACATGCTAGGCCAGAAATATAAGTCCTTGATTTTATTATAGGTCTTCCTATGTGAAAAATGGCCAGAGACTGGCAAGTCATGAGAAATCTTTAAAATAGTTTCACGGCAATCCTGCGGAATGACTAACAGGCTTCGACCAACGTCATTGGGCTTGTCCCCAGACACTATAGTCTTGTACAAAAGATTTTGTTTGAACTCAAACTTGTAAGAAAATTTCTTTCTCTGGGTCACCTTGCCATTTAAAGCTAACTTCCGAGATTCCTCTAAGGAAGGACAAGTCTTTTGAAGACCCTCCAAATCTATATGAGACAGCTCGATTGGCTTTCCTTTGGAAAGAACTAATGGGTGGATAGGTTTTACTTTAGACTGAGCTCTGGTAACGACGTTAATCGAGTCTAGTTGTTGTATAGATTGTGCCACACGTAGTTTTCCACTGGCGTCTGCGTTGTCCAGTTCAAGTGACTGACTTACTAAAGGTGTTACCGAGTTTTGTAACCATCAGCTCTCTGATTTAGTTACCCAACTGAATCTCATCTGAACTATCTGTGAAAGAAAACAGAGATATTAGGTTCCAACCCTTCCTTGGAAACTCCAAATTCCAAACAGTCCTTCTCAGATGGGAAAGTAGCCCCTTGTATGTTTCCCAACCAAAACAGAACTATGAGGTTATCGGGGCAAACTACAGCATCTACCCATCCTGAGAACCATTTGCACCTAACAAAACATCTGACTGTTGGAAAAGAATCGCTTCTTCCTAAATAGTCAGTTAATTTAGTGGACTTATAACGTGAAGAATCTAGGTTAGGGAAAAGCTTACTCGAGATAACAATACAGGAACATCCAGTGTCTCTAAGAATGGTTGACACATTCATGCCATTGACTGTACCTTCACTAAAAGGTGCGTTTATGTTTGATTCAGTGAAACATATACCGACATTTTCACCTTTTTTTTTCTAGGACAGTCGGGACGTCTATGACCCCACTCATTACAGTTGAAACACTTTACTGTGAAGGCCGTGGAATTCTTAGGTACGGAGGGTTTGGATCCCTCAGATTGCTTAGGCACACAACAGCGCTTATATCTGCTACGCTCTTTAGGGTAGTTATTATGAGCGCACGCATATATATCACAGCTTGTGCCATTTCTGCAGCCGTATGAACGTTTCGTTCTTTAATGAATATTCGTAAGTCAGAGTTTACAGAAGAAAGGAATTGATCTCTTACCATCAGGTCTCGTAAAGATTCGAAATCGTGGTCAACCTCAGCACTATCAATCCACGAATCAAATAATCTGAAAAGTGTTGTTAAGAATTGCATGTAATTTTGATGAGGAGTTATTTTAATGTGTCTAAACTCCGACCTGTAATGATGAGTAGTTTTTTGAAAGCCTGGATATAGCTTTCTTCAGCAGGCTATAACTAGAAATAACATCAGAGGGTAGAGTGGAATAGACGTTTAGTGCTGAACCTGACAGTAGTAAGCCAAGCCTAGTAGCCCAAGAATCTACTGGCCAGTCACAGAGTAGCAGTACTCTCGAATCTCGTAATATATGCCGCTATGTCATCTTGTTCTGAGAAAGGTGGTATTTGAGGCATCCTAATATTAGGTTCTTGGGAAGGGTATTCCAGTACCCCTTCATCTATTTTCTGCTTAGATAGTTCTACCTTCTTGGCTTCTAATTCCAATCTTGATTGTTCTAACTCAATTTCCTTCATTTTGAAGGCTACCTCTCTTGCCTGAACTCTATCTTCTCTAGCTATCCTTTCCTATTCGATTTTTATCCTCCCGAGCTAGTCTTTCCTGTTCCTTTTTCTCTTCTCGAGCTAGTCTTTCCTGTTCCTTTTTCTCTTCACGAGCTAGTCTTTTCTCCTCTCGAGCTAGTCTTTCCTGTTCCTTTTTCTCTTCAATAGCCATTTTAGCAGTAATGTAACTATCAAGGCTTTGTCCAGTAAATCCCATTTCCTTTCCAGCTTTCAACCAGGAATCTAAAGAATCCATCTTGTAAAAAGAAATATTAGCCACCCAACTTCAACTGACAATTAAAATTAACAGTAACGTCTGTTACAAAAGAGGGACACAGTCCGCACACTTTAAACTTCCCAAAGTAGAAAATGAAATAAATATTTCTCCCTGGAAGAATACACTTGTGGGCTCAATAGCCTTCACTAAGCAAAATTACACACGGTTCACACAGGAGGGGTTATTATCAAAGTTCCCAGGTCCAACAAATAGGTAAAACTCTAACCGAACCTTAGAACCAAACAACGGTAAGTCAACCAGACTACCAGTAATGACTTGACACCTCAACTAACTCACCCTTTTCTACCTTAAATGTTATACTCACAACCAGTTGAACCATCAGGACGATGTTGCTTCAAGAGTCGGATCCTGGCAAGGTCGCCATTGTCAGTGGAACGCCTTCCAACTGAACAAAAGAAACTAATGGAAAAATAAATAAATAATGATTTAGGAAAAACAAGAAAAATGATTGAGAATTTTACTTAAAATTTAAATATAATAAAAAAAAATTGCCTTCAGTTCTTGTAGTTGGGTAGGAGTAGGTATGGCCCTAGATAGTTCCTCTGATGTTATTTATGTTGGTTATCCTGGGCAGATGGTAATCCGATGTTCTGGAATCTCCTACCACTTGGATGGAGCACAAGTAGTATAGGTAAGGGTCGGTAGTTGTAGAATAATGTTAATAAGTATTATTAACACACGTCTTGCCCCTTTATCTGGCGTCTATCCTGGAAGACCACGCCAGGAACAGAGCTGACAAATAAGAGAAAAAACTGGTTACCCATAGTCATGATAATATAACATTTAAGAAAGAAAAAGAATAAATGCCAAAATCATTACTGGTAACCAGCAAACACTAGAAAAGAACAAACAGTAATACTCCTGGTAGATCACCCTACCTGATTAGGAGAAGAGTGGAGGCGAAGTGACTCTCCAAACTTCAATCCACACCAGGTAAGGTCAATATTACCAGGAGCAGAAACTTTAACAAATCGGACACCAGGAACTAGTTTTGCCCCAGCCCGCCAGAGAGGGGGGGGGTGTGTGCGCGCGCAACGTAACTCGCTAATGGTTCCTGGTTGCCCGAACAACCTTAACCCCACTTACACCTACTTTTCCCTCACAAGTAAAAAGGGATTGCTAGGATGCAGATTTCTATCTTTATCTATTTATCTATCTATCTATGTATATGTTTCATGTAGCTGTACTTCACTTTCAGCACTGATACATGGGTGAGTCTGGTACCCAGGGGATGGGTTGCTCCATCTCCCCCACCCAAAGAAGCACCTTTTTGGGTATATACTGTTGGGGTGGTTGTAGGTGTGGCAGTCATGGTCATCATCATCCTCGTTCTTATAAAGGTAAGTCACTGGCCAAGTGCAACCTGATAATGATGGTTAATTGAGAGGCTACTGTCATGACTATGGTGAAAGTGTGAGCACGAAGGCTGACAGTGTGAGCATGAAGGCTGATAGTGTGAGCATGAAGGCTGATAATGTGAGCATGAAGGCTGAAAGTGCTGCGGAAGAAAGTGTTGATGCAAAACACACGCTAGGTTATACGTAGGTTCTACAAAATACATGCTAGGTTATACGTAGGTTCTACAAAATACATGCTAGGTTATACGTAGGTTCTACAAAATACATGCTAGGTTATACGTAGGTTCTACAAAATACATGCTAGGTTATACGTAGGTTCTACAAAATACATGCTAGGTTATACGTAGGTTCTACAAAATACATGCTGGGTATACGTAGGTTCTACAAAATACATGCTAGGTTATACGTAGGTTCTACAAAATACATGCTAGGTTATACGTAGGTTCTACAAAAAGTGAAAGAAAGTTAAATTATATTAAAATCAGGAAATGTAAAACTGATTAGGACAAAAGTGAATGTTTATTTGTTGAAGCAGATAAATAAAGAAGTAAATTTAATAGTGAGGCTGAAAAGGGAAGAAATACGCAGTGAAAGTGAAGAATAAAAATTAACTTAAAATGACTGATTAACATGAAAAAATATTTACAATGAGAATGCCAAAACACCTGGAGTTTACCTGGAGAGGGTTTCGAGAGTCAACGCCCCCGCGACCCCGGTCTGAGACAGGCCTCATGGTGGATCAGGGTCTGATCAACCAGGCTTTTACTGCTGGCCGCACGCAAGCTGATGTACGAACCGCAGCACGGTTGGTCAGGTACTGACTTTAGGTGCCTGTCCAGTGCCTTCTTGAAGAGAACCAGGGGTCTATTGGTAATCCCCCTTATGTATGGGCCCAGACATTTATTTTTATGTCTCTGTGTACTCGGGGGCGACCTTCTTTTCATCGGGGGAATTTTTGCATCTCCTGCCGAGTCTTTTGCTTTCAAAGGGAGTGATTTTCGTGTGCAGGTTTGGTACCAATCCCTCCGGGAAACCTTCCAAGTGTATATTATCATGTATCTCTCGCCTGCGTTCGAGGGAATACAGATCAAGGACCTTCAACCGTTCCCAGTAGTTTAAGTGCCTTATGTATGCCTAAAAGTTCTTTGTACACTCTCCAGGTCTGCAATGTCGCCAGCCTTGAAGGGGGGCCGTTAGTGTTTCAGCAGTATTCCAGCCTAGAGAGCACAAGCGATTTGAAGAGAATCATCATGGGCTTGGCGTCCCTAGTTATGAAGGTTCTCATTATCCATCCTATCTTTTTCCTAGGGATGAGGTACATACATTGTTGTTATCTTTGAAGGCGAGATCCTCTGACATTATCATCCTAGGTCCTTCACATTATTTTTTCCGCTCTAATGTTTTGGTTAGAATTTGTGGTATACCCTGACACATTTTTAATTTCTTAAAGTTTCCCTATCTGAGTAAAAAATTTCTCTTCGTGAACTCCATTGGTTTTGAGTGGCTCATTCGACGATTTGGTTGATTCCGCTTGGAGTCTCGCGGTGTCTTCGATGGAGGTCACTGCCATGGTGATCCGGGTGTCTCCGCAAAGGAAACACGGAGCTATGGCTTATTTTCTCTGTCTGTCAGAAATGGGAAGGAAAAGAATGGGAGCGAGTACTGTGCCTTGTGGAACATAGCTTTTTACCATGGCTGCCTGGGACTTTACTCTGTTTACTATTACTCTTTGTTTCTATTTGTCAGGAAGTTGTAGATCCATCTACGAACTTTTCCCGTTATTCCTGTATAAAACAATTTTGTGTGCTATTACACCATGGTCACACTTGTCAAAAAGCTTTTGCAAAGTCTGTGTGACTGCATCTGTATTTTTTTTATCCTCTACCGCATCCAGGACCTTGTCATATTTGGTCCAGTACCCGGGGACAGGCAGGAGCGACCTCCCTTTTAAACCCGTGTTGCCAGGGGTTGTGTATCTAGGTGGTTGGCTATCTTGCTTCTTAGAACCCTCTTAGTTTTTTATAAATATGGGATTTTAGTGCTAATGGGTCTGTAGTTCTTTGCAATTGCTTTACTCCCCACCTTTGTGGAGGGGGGCTATGTCTGTTGTTTTTAGTGTGTGTGGGATGACCCTGTGTCCATGCTCCCTCTGCATAAAATGCTGAAGGCACGCGGTAGGGGCTTCTTGCAATTCTTGATGACCCAGGGAGTTCCACGAGTCTGGGCCCTGGGGGGCAGATGCATAGTCATGTCATTAATTGCCTCTTCAAAGTCTTGTGGAGCTAGAATAATATCCGAGATTTTTGGGATGACCAAATTCTGGGTTTTGTTCATAAAGAATTCATTTGGGGTTTTCGACTCTAAGAGTGGGCCCCTAGCTCGCTGAACACTGAGTCATATTGGAACTTTAATTCTCACTCATTTCTTGGCTATCAACTGTGTATGTCCCATCCCTCCTAAGCAGGAGCCCAATACTGGATGATGATTTTCCCTTAGATTTGGCATAAGATAAGAAGTATTTGTTTTTTTTTCAATTTCCTTTATGGCTTTTAGTTCTTCTTATGATTCTAGTTTCCTATAATTTATTCAGCTTAAGTTCGATATTTGCAGTTTCATCCTCTTCAAGGGGGCTCCTTGTCTTGGTGAAGAGGCTCTTGGTCTGAGGAATTAGACCTGTCGGTCTCCTTCCTCAGACCGAACCTAATTACACCCCAATCCCCCCTTCCCTATCCCCTCCTCCCCACCCCTCCCTTTTGCTCTTCCTCTTTTTGGCCTTTGGGGGTTTTTCCCACAGGCGCGCTAAATTCCTAGGTAGGGGGAAAAGGGGACCCGGGGTCCATCCCATTCCGTTGAGGTTCTTGGCGGTGGCGTAGTTTGCCCTGGAATCTGGATCCCCTGGCGATGTCCCGATCCCCTCCGGTATCCGGAGAGTGGTTTGGGTGTCTTTCGGGCGACGGGTGTATCTCTGGAAGCCACCTTTCGGGTTCCGGGAGTGTGGCCGAAGGAGGTATGCTTTGTGGCGGATATGCGGCCGCCCTCTCTTTTTTTTCACCCAGGTAGCTCGGCAGATGTAGGTTTGCTATCCCGATTATGGTTTACTGGCATGAAGGAGGGTATGGCAATGGGTTCCATGCCTGCATCTGCACTGCTAGCGGTGCTGAGGGCCTCTTGGGCACAGAGGGGGATTTCCAGCCCTTTCATTCCTCCCGGGAACTATTCCTCCCCGCCCCCCCCCTTTTTTTTTATTCTTTTTTTATTTTTATTTTCTTTTATTCTTTCTTTTTTTTTCCTAAAAACAAAAAGCAAAGAGAACCCATGGAGAACCCAATCCATGAACCCACTACCCCCGGGGCCCCTTCTTGATACCGCACCCCATTTCTGACCCTGCCTTTTTTTTTTTTTGACCACTCTTCGGACACTCCTGATGCCTGTACCTCTTGCTGGTGCTTTTTTCCTCACCCGCTTCAAGTACAGGGGCTTCGACTGACTCCTTCGATTTGTCTGACCTCCACTCTCCTTTGACTATGCTTCCGGCCTCTCCCTCTATGGTACAGCAATTTTCGAATCGCCAGCCCGTTTCACGATGGACCAACTTCGGTCCTACTCCTAAACGCCAACGACAAATTTTACTGGTGATGTTCCTTCATCACCTTCCCATTCTATTGGGAAAAGACGACACGTCATGCACTTCCTCTGCACGCTCTGTTTCGGACCACGCAATTAACTAAATTCTTTACTTTAAGACCGACTTCTTTTTCTGCCTATCTTTCTGACCACAGTATTGGCAAAGCGCTCCTGCGCCATGTTGGTAGAGATATTTCATTCCATGCTCTCAAGACGGTACACCCATCGCCCACTGTCCAGAAGCTACCCAAGCTCATGATCTTTCTCTCCTTTCGCATATAAATACTACTCCTATCACTATTGAAAAACATCTTTCTCTCAATTCTTGTAGTGGTACTGTCATTCTGCCCCATACCATAGTCCAACAGAATTTCCAGTCATGTGGCAATAACATTCTTGAACGCTGGAACTCCAGGATCTCCCAATCCTCAAAGTAGACACTTATGTCCTTCTGCCTGCGGGCAGAGACATTACCCTTGCAATGGGGCTCGATTAACTTTCGACAGCCGTGAACTCCCTCCTCTGTTTATGTCGCGGGACATCGGTTACAAGTTCGAAAGGTGACCCCTACACCGCCAACAGTGTAAAATTGCTGGCGTTTTGGTCACCCAGTGAAATATTGCAGATCTATAAACTGAATGCCCAGTCATGGTGCCGACGACCATTCTAATACATCTTGCAGTCAACCTCCATCTTGCCTTAACCCTTTTTGAGGCTCCTTCCTTCCCCTTCTTCCACCTCCGCACTTTACCTTTCCAGTCTCTGTGCCTAGTTCTTCCCTCTCTCTGGCTCTATTACAAGTGTGGGGTTCACCCTCCTCCTCGTACTATGCCTTCCACCCCCGTCCCCTCCCAAGTTTCTCCTCTTCTGCCACCTCTCAGGTTTTTTGCCTCTTCTGTCCCCTCCCCCACTTTTCTCCAGTCCCCCGCACTCTTTCGTCCCCCTCTACTTTGGTACAGTCCATTACTGTCCCAATCTTATCTCCCCTCCTTATCTTACACTCCAATATTGTCTCCCATACATCTTTGAATTCAGAAACACTTGAAGCCATTTCAGAATATATTGCAGAGACTAAACCTTCAATGGACACTGTTTCCACCTCCTGTTCCTTCTCTTCCCTCTCCTCCACCCTCCACAACTCCATTCTTTCGCAACGCTCCATTCCTTCGCTGCTTGAACCCCTTTCCCAGTGCCCCCACACGTTGACTTTTCTAACCCCTCTAGTTCGTAGGTGCCCTTCCCTACGGATTCCTGGTATTTTCTTCATTGCCAATAAATGGCCTTTTACAGTGGAATATCCGCGGCCTTCATGGGTAATCGGGATGAGCTTCAGATGTTGCTTTCCGGGTTTTCCCTGTTGGTGCTTGCTTACAAGAACCAAATTACACTCAGCTGTTTTCCAACCTCTCTCTGGCTATAATTTAAATTATATTCTTTGGATCCTTCTCAGATGGGACCTATAATGAAAGTGCCCTTCTTCTACGCAACGATATTCCGTACTGTCAACTATTGTCCATACCTCGCTGCATTACACTGCAGCCGTATCCACTTGAATAAGGGGTT